GCCGCCAAGTACACCAGTGAAAAGTAGGCTCTGGCATGCGCGACGTATCCAGGCTGTATCCACCGGCGACACCTTCCTGCCCAAAAGCCTGGTCCATCCAGTGCCACTTGCAGCGGACTAACGTCGGGTTTGCAGACACCGCAGCGAATCCATCTTGCCCGCCGTCAGGCTAGGAACGCAACATTCACCAAGACGTCGCGAGGCTCGCCGAAACAACACCACAGTGGGCCAGCTTGGCACCACTGAAAGAGCATTTCTATCAGCGTATGTCTACATAGGTATTTGTTTATCGTGTTCGTGTGCTTGGTTGCCCCTGTCTCACTGAAGGTACCGGGTGGTGTGCGAGTGGTTGCGCGCGGCTTCTCAGTGGACGATGGCAGCCCAGTGCCGGATGGGTTCACAGTTGGCGCTGCTCGACCCCTGCCCGACCTGCCCGCCCTTCTGTCTCTGACAATTGCCCCCCCAGACCCCAAACCCATGCACCGACCCGAAAATGTTGCGGAGCCGTGGCCGTGATGACGAAGTGGAGGGGTTCGGGCAGCGAATTTGGAGAAGGCGGTGCAAGGCAAAGTCGCCTGTACCTTTTCCTCGGGCCAGGAGGAGGCCGTCTGTTCTGATCCCGCCTCCGCCCTCGCAAGCCCCCCGACGTGGCGCAGCTGCTGGAACCCGTTCTGGGGGCCGAGGGAATTTCAGAATCGGTTTCACGGCCGTCCGAAGTTATTTGTCAGCCCCATCAGCCACCTTCGGGAGGGGGGCGTATCGCATGCTGGCGACATGGGCGTGACGCACCTAAGGGTAGGTGCGTGTCGTGTCGCCTCGGCGGCGACCCCGCCGCGCACGTTCGAAGCCCAGCGTCGCCAGTGACCCAGAATCTGCCAATACGAAACGAGCTGAGGGTCCAGAAACCGCCGATCGTTCTAGGTTGAGCGATCCACGCCGTGCGCGAAGCCGACGCGCCAGCCGCCACGACGAGGACTCACCTCACCCCCCCTCTTCCAGCCCCGTGACGGTGACCCCCCCGTGAGTCCCGGCCCCGAGTGAGAAAAGAGGGAGTATCAAGTCTGAGCGTTGCTCTTGTTATTGTTGTTGTTGGTGGTGGTGATGGTGTTGGTGTTGGTGGTGTTGCTGCTGCTGTTGTTGCTGTTGTTGCTGTTGTTGGTATTGTTGTTGCTGCTGCTGTTGTTGCTGTTGTTGTAGTAGAACTCTCAGTCTTGAAGAATAATTTTGTTGATCCCCCCAGCGGTGCACATTGTTTTTTTCAATTGAAGTGCCCCCCCCCGGGGCTCGCACTTTGTTTTTTGTCAACGAGAGTCTTCCTGCTCAAACTGGCCCCCTGGCTCCCCGGTTGCAACAACAACGGCTCCCGCCTGAGATTTCCTCACAATTTAGCCAGGACCCTTGCTCCCGCCCGAGCCTTCCTCGCATTTTATTCAGGAATCGCGCTCTCGCTTGGGACGTCCTTACGATTTATTTAGGAATCGCTCCTCCTGCGCTCTGGAGTCGCGCTCTCGCTGGAGACTTGCTTGCAATTTACTGAAGAATAGCGCCCTTGCGTTCCAATTTCTTGCAATTTACTGCAGCGCCGCGCTCCCGACACCCAGGCACCCAGGAGTCGCGCTCACGCTTAGGACTCCTTCACAGATTACCTAGGAATCGGAATCTCGCTGCCCTTCGTGGCCCCGTTGCAGCCCTTCGTGGCCCCCTCGCTTGGTTTCGTGGCCCCGTTGCAGCCCTTCGTGGCCCCCTCGCTTTGTCTCGTGGCCCCGTTGCAGCCCCTCGTGGCCTCCTCGTTGCCCTTCGTGGCCCCGTTGCAGCCCTTCGTGGCCCCCTCGCTTTGTTTCGTGGCCCCGTTGCAGCCCTTCGTGGCCCCCTCGCTGCCCTTTGTGGCCCCGTCGCAGCACTTCGTGGCCCCGTTGCGGCCCTTCGTGGCACCCTCGCTGCCCTTCGTGTCCCCGTTGTTGCCCTCAGTTGCCCCCTCGCTTTGTTTCGTGGCCCCATATATGTATGCCCTTCGTGGCCCCCGCTCGTTCGCGCCCGTGGTGGCCCCATATGCATGCCCTTCGTGGCCCCGCTGTCGCCCTTCGTGGCCCCCTCACTGCCCTTCGTGTCCCCGTTGCTGCCTTCAGTGGCCCCGTCCGTACCCTCCGCGGCCCAACATACGTGTGCCATTCGTGGCCCCCGCTCGTTCGCGCCCGTTGTGGCCCCATGTGCATGCCCTTCGTGGCCCCGCTGTCGCCGTTTGTGGCCCCCTCATTATTCTATGTGGCCCATGTGCTACCCTTAGTGGCCCCATCGTTGCCTTCTGTGGCCCCTCATTATCTGCCCATCGTGGCCCACGCTCGTTCGCGCTCTTCGTGGCCCCATACGCATTCCCTTCGTGTCCCCGCTGTCGCCCTTCGTGGCCTACTTCGTGTCCTTCGTGGCTCTGCTGTCGTTCTCTCTCGCTCTCGCTTTCGCTCGTCGTCGTCGTCGTCGCCGTCGCCGTCGTTGCCGTCGTCGTCGACGTTGTCGTCGTCGTCGTGGTCGGTCCCCTGTCCGTCCCTCTTGAGGTCGGGTCGACGGTCCGCGGCCGCCCCGCCGATCAGCGCTGCCGCTGGCCAGGCCGACGGTCCGCGGCAGCCCCGCCGCGTGCCAGGGCGCGGCCTGCAGGGCAGAAAGGTATACCCCCCAAAATGGGGTTCGATCGAAAACGAAAAGGGCGGGTATCGAGGGTTTGGGAAAGTCGCGTTATTCGACACTCGAGCAGATAAGGGCGAACAGTCTTAAAATGATTGTTGTTGTTGGTGGTGGTGGTGGTGGTGGCGTTGTTGTTGTTGTTGTTGGTGGTGGTGGTGGTGGTGGTGTTGGTGTTGTTGTTGTTGCTGTTGTTGTTGTTGTTGAACATTATTTATTCTAAAGAATAATTATTGTTGGGGGCCCTGGTGCGCGCCCCCCTCGCCGCGCCTAGGCCGCAGCCGCATTTTCATCATTTTCGTGAGGAAGTCTCAGGCAAAACGTGGGTGTCCGGATCCGGTTGTTTTGTTGACGCCCGCTTTCCCTTGCAAAAAACACTATAAAATGAAATTTCTTGTTCTAACATAACCAAACTTCAAGAATCCTTTGAAAAAATGACACGAAGTGCACACTCGCGCGCGCAAGATGAAATCCTTCCAAAACCTTAGTTTTCGTAGCGATTTTAACATAAAAACATGAAAAACCCAATGGTTTTTCAAAAAAAAAGTTTCAAACATTCATCTTGCGCGCTCTTGCGGATTTCTGAGGAAACCCAATATTTTTTCAACATTTCTGTCAAACGGGCTCTTGCGAGCAACTTTTTCACGTGCTTCGAACTTCTGCAACAACGGTTGCGCGCATGCCAGGGCCATCATCCCTGTCAAATAATACCATATTGGACACATTCGTTTTTTCTTCGCGCGCGCACGCCGTCGTCGTCGGCCGCGGGGCCCTGAATAGTAGCCACGGTCGTCCGCATGCCACGAAGTGAAGTGTCCGAACGTCATAGGGCGGGAAGCTGGGTGTGGGTGGTGGCGAAGAGTCGTTTGGAAATTTGGTAGAGCTTGAACCGGCCCCCCCACAAAGTGGGGGTATTGCCCGCCTCCTATGAAAACCCTGGCACTGGTGAGAACGGAGTGTCCCCACGTGCTAGTGATTGTTGTTGTTGTTGTTGTTGTTGTTGTTGTTGTTGTTGTCGTTGTCCGTTGTCGTTGCTGTTGTTGTTGTTGTTGTTGTGTTGTTGTGTGTTGTCGTTGTCGTTGTCGTTGTCTGTTGTTGTTGTCGTTGTTGTTGGTGTTGTTGTCGTTGTTGTTGTCGTTGTTGTTGTCGTTGTTGTTGTTGTTGTTGTTGAACATTATTAATTCTAAAGAATAATTATTGTTGGGCCCCCTGGTGCGCGCCCCCCCTGCCGCGCCTAGGCCGCAGCTACGTTTTCATCATTTTCGTGAGGAAGCCTCAGGTAAACGATGTCATCAAGATCCGGTTGTTTTGTTCCCCCCCGCTGTCCCTTGCAAAAAACACTATAAAATGAAATTTCTTGTTCAAATATAATCAAATTTCAAGAATCCCTTGCAAAAAATAAGGTAAAGTGGACATTCGCGCGCGCAAGACGAAATCCTTCCAAAAGCTTAGTGTTCGGAGCGATTTCAACATAAAAACATCAAAAAACCAATGGTTTTTTCAACAAAAAAAATGTCAAAATCTCATCCCGCGCGCTCTTGCGGATTCGTAGGAAACCCAACACTTTTTCAACATTTCTGTCAAACGGGCTTTTGCGAGCAACTTTTTCGAACTTCTGCGACAACGGTTGCGCACCTGCCAGGGCCATCATCCCTGTCAAATAATACCATGCGGGACAGATTCGTTTTTTGGCGGGACATACACCGCCCCGAATAAGTGACCAAGTTCTGTGGGTGTGTACCCCACGCCAGTGTAGTAGCCACGGTCGTCCGCACGCCACGAAGTGAAGTGTCCCAACGTCATAGGGCGGGAAGCTGGGTTTGGGTGGTCGCGAAGAGTCGTTTGGATATTTGGTAGAGCTTGTAATGCCCCCCCACGAAGTGGGGGTATTGCCTGGTGTCGTATGAAAACCCTTTGTGGACGCCAGATGTTTGGGCACAGCTCTCTGCCATCGTCACGAAACTGGTTTCCAGAAGCCAGAAGTTGCAGCCCGCCGCCTAGCTTCTATCGGGACGCCAGATTTTTGGGCACAGCTCTCTGCCATCGGCGTCACCCAAACGTATTAGTAGTTCTTGCGTGTGCGTCGCCCCCCCGCTCCCCCCGGGGCGACGCGCGCACCGAGAATTCCTACAATAGTAGCTGCGAGGCGGGCGCTTTCCGGCCATACCGCTCGGGAAGCGATACACTACAAGATGGCTGTAATGTATGTTCGGGTCGGACGCACGCCCCCGAGGCGGACAGACCGTTTCGTATGTCCTTGTGCGTCCCACCTCGAGTGTCGTTCGTCCGTCCCCTCGTCCGCCTTCTCAGTCACCCTCGGTGGGGGAGGCGTCCAAGTACCTGATGTGCCGGCGAGGGCTGCTCATCCAGCCGCTGCCGGAGGGGCCGCGGCGCGACGAGGCGGCGCGCCGGTTCCGCTTCGTGGGCAGGCTGCTGGGCCAGGCGCTGCGAGAGGACCTTCGGGAGGTATCGGGGGTTAGGGGGCCACCTGCGAACCCTACCCCTACCCCCCACGGTTTCTGAGGGGAAGGGTGGGGTAGGGTTCGCATGTGGCCCCCTAGGGGTGACGACAGAGGCGGATAGCCCAGCCGCAGGCGATGCTTTGCATGACCCCCTGATTGCAATCGCCGCAGCCGCAGGCGATTTCTCTCTCTCTCTCTCTCTCTCTCTCTCTCTCTAACCCCATGATTCTGTACGAAGATGCAGCCGCTCAGAGAAATGGGGAGACCCTGGGATACACCAAAACAAGATTCACTCGTTTTCCGGGTGTTTTGGACTTTGGCGTTCTCGCTTTTCCCGCTTTCCAGCGCTCCCTCACGGCCTCGGAGGCCCTTGAGATCGCTCCAAGAAGGCCCACGAGGCCCCGACGAGAGCCCCAAGACGGCCCAGGATGCTCCCCAGACAACCCAAGTGTGCCCCAAGAGCGCGCAAAGAGAATGAGGCGGACCGGGCCCGCCCCGAAGCAGGCCACGCCAGGCTAATGGAGGTCCCCAGAGGGCCTTAGACGGTCCCAAGAGGCCCCGAAGTCGCCCAAGCTGCCCTCAAGACGGCCGACGAGGACTCCAACACGCTCCAGGACGGACTCAAGAGGCTCCCCAAGAGGGCCCTGGGAGGCAAGATTCACTAATTTTCCGGTGGTTTTTGAAGGATTTTGGCGTTCTCGCTTTCCCCGCTTCCCAGCGCTCCCTCACGGCCTCGCTCAGAGGCCCTTGAGATCGCTCCAAGACGGGCAGACGACCCAACTGTGCCCCAAGAGCTCCCCTAGAGGGGGCCCAGAATGGGACCGCCAACCGATATTTCGAGGTCTCTGGCCCTAGAGGCCACCTGTAGGCCCCCGGAGGCCACCAAGAGGCTCCCACGAAGCCCCGTGAGGGACCCAAGAGGCCCCCAGGAAGCCCCAAGAGACCCCCAAGGGGCTCCCAGGGAACGCCCAAGAGGCCCCCCAACACACCCCAAGAAATCATGTCCCCAGAAAACCTTCCGGGGACATGGTTCATCATGGGCCCGAGAGTTCCCGGAGGCCCCCAAGGGGTGCCCGGGGGACGCCCAAGAGACCCCCCAACACACCCCAACAAACCATGTCCCCAGAAAGCCTTCCGGGGACATGGTACATCATGGGCCCGCGAGTCTCCGGAGGCTTCGAAGTACCATCATGCTACAGGAGAGCTGTCTGGGGAGTTTATTGGGAACATGACTGATCGCCTTCTCGCGGCCCTCCGCAGACCGTTTCGCACAAAGTTGCCCCAAGTGCCCTCTTGAATCGACGACGACGACGACGACGAAACGACGAAGACGACGACGACGACGACGACGACGGCCCGCCCCAATAGGCGACGACGACATTACGACGACGACGACGACGACGACGACGACGACGACGACGACGACGACGACGACGACGACGACGACGACGACGACGACGACGACGACTGCGCGCCCCAACAGGCTCCCCAAGACGCCCTCAAACCCATGCTCCAAGAAGGCCTTCTGGGAACCGGATTCATACGGCCTCCGCCCCCCTACACAACCATTTTCCTCGAAGGCCTTTCGGAATGCAGATTGGCATGCGTGGACTGTGGTCCACTACTTCAGTGGAGCAGTGAATTCGTCAAGGCCTGGTGCCTGCTAGAACCTGAGCGCGCGCGATTTTTTCTTATTTATTATTATTAGTGTTATTATTCTTCTTTTATATATATATATATATGTTGTTTTGTGTGTTGTGTGTGTGTGTCGTTGTGTGATTTGTTTGTTTGTTGTTATTGTTGTTGTTGCTGGGCTTGCTGCTGTCTTTGCTGCTGTGGATGTTGTGGCTGCTGCTGTTGTTGTTGGTGTTGTTGTTGCTGTTATTGTTGTTGCTGTTGTTGCTGTTGTTGCTTTTGTTGCTGCTGCTGTCGTTGTTGTAGGTGTTGCTGCTGCTGTTGTTGCTGTTGATGTTATTGTTGGTGTTGTTGTTGGTTGTTGTGTTTGTTGGTGGTGGTGCTGTTGGTTGTTGTTGTTGCTGTTGCTGTTGCTGTTGCTGTTGCTGTTGTTGCTGTTGCTGCTGCTGCTGCTGCTGCTGTTGTTGTTGTTGTTGTTGTTGTTGTTGTTGTTGTTCTTGTTCTTGTTCTTGTTGCTGTTTGTGTGTGTGTGTGTGTTTTGTAGGTGGTCGGCCTTCCCGCGGGCCCGCGGAGGGCTTCATCGCCCCCGGGACCAGCTTCTCATCCCGAGCCGTTCTTTGACGGTCCCGAGGGCCGGCGAGGGCCCCCGGAGGCAGCACCATGGCGAAGCCCTTGGCCGCCGTGATTATTTCACGACTCGAAGGGGTCTTCGGGTTAGGCTGGGGTTATGGAAGTCGACTGATGGAGAGGGAGTATGCTGCCAAATAATACCCAGATGCTTACACATGTTTCCACCTCTCTAAAGACATGTTTGGAAGTCATGTTTAGAACATGGTTCACACATGTTTAGCACATTCTTACTTCAATGATCGGCTTCTTAGAGTATCCATTGTCATGGCATCCACATGGCTGGGGCGGTCCGGGCCTTCTGAGAAACTTTCGAAGCCTTCCCCGAAGACAGGGACCATCTTCTTGGAAGGCCCGAGGGCTTCTGAGAGAAGGCCCGCCGCCTTCTGAGAGGGCCTTGTCCTTCGCATTTCCCCCCTCCCTCGCCGCCAAGGGTTAGGCTTATGTCGGGCGTGTCCCCCTACAGGGGGATTCCAAAATAAACAAATGCACCAAAAATGCCCCAAAAAGTTCAACAACTATTCAGAAAATAGTCCCATACTATTTTTTGATTTTTTTTTATCATGTTAGGGGTAATTTTTATTTTTCGTCGGCAATCCCCCTGTTGGGGGACAGACCCGACTTAAGGTTAGGCTGGGGCGGTCCGGCAGGGCGGTCGGCCTCCCCGCGGGCCCTGCGGAGGGCTTCATCGTCCCGCTGCCCGTGGGCGAGGAGGTCTTCGCGCTGCTGCGGGGGGACGCGCCGGGGGCCGAGAGCCTGCCGCGCCCGGGAGGGGCTGGGCGGCGGCTCTCCGGCGGGTGCTGGGCGCTGCTGTGCCATGGGGCTGCTCTAGGGCGAGGGAGGAGGAGGAGGAGGGAGGAGGAGGAGAGGGAGGAGGAGGAGGAGGAGGAGGACGAGGAGGAGGAGAAGGAGGGGGAGGAGGAGGAGGAGGAGGAGGAGGAGGAGGAGGAGGAGGAGTAGGGGGGGAGGAGGACGAGGAGGAGGAGGAGAGGAGAGGAGGGGGAGGAGGAGGAGGATAAGGGGAACGAAGAGCGACACAGACACAGAAGCTCGGAGGTCCGCGCGGCTTTCTCGGATCCGCGCTGGACCCCCCTGGCGGCGCCTCCCTGGCGCCGCCCCTGGCGCAATTCCGAGAAAGCCGCGCGGACCGAGTTTTTGTTTATGCTCATGCCATTACTTGTTCCTCGAGAGATGGCTTCACGTGCTGAAATGATTCATCCAGTTTTGTATACTCTAGTGAGCAGCAATTGGTGTGCTCACCCCCATCAGGCCCTCTTCCTGTATAGACTTTTTGTAGACATCCGTTTGCTGCGAGGCTTCTCACGGGCGATCAGTGATCTCACCAGTCTTAGCGCCAAACGCATTTGAAGGTTGCGGCGCAGGCCACGTGGGCTAGATAGAGGAGGAGGAGGCGGAGGAGGAGGAGGAGGAGGCCCAGACATGCTCGCGTCGCAAGCAGACCTGGACGGAGGCGTTCCGCTGCTTTCGGCCTCTGTGGAGGCCCTCGCTGGGCCCCGGGACCGTCAAACAATTCTTTAGGAGGAGGAAGCTGGCCTGGGGGAAAAGGGTCGGGTTAAGTCGGGCCCGTCCCTCTACAGGAGGAACATTCAAGAATTGTCGAAAAATGGTCAGGGGACTATTTTATCGTTTTTTTTGTTTGTTTTGATAATTTTGGAGTCTTTTTTGATAATGTTTTATTTACCGTCGAAAATACCCCTGTAGGGGGACACGCCCGACTTAAGGGTCGGGACCTCGGCGACCGTGCATTGACAACATCAGGACCTCGCACGTCTGGGGGGACAGGAGGAGGGCGCCGTCTGGGCGTCCGAGGTGGCCCAGCAACGGCTCCGGCCAGCGGGAAAGGCGGGCAAGGCTCGAGGTTCTAGGTTCGGGAAGGTGTCTTGTCTTTTTCGGCCTCCGATGGCTTGCTGGCCCTGGGACCATCAAAGCGGATCCAGAGTGACATTGCAGCAGATGGACCCGGGGCTGGTTTCGCCCGGCTGGTTTCGCCGGGCTGGTTTCGCCCGGCGATGGTTTCGCCCGACCTTGGTTTCGCCCGACCCTGGTTTCGCCCAGGCTGCTTTCGCCCGGCTGCTGGAGGAGGTGCAGGAGGAGGTGCAGGAGGAGGTGCAGGAGGAGGTGCAATATGAAAAGGAGGAGGAGGAGGAGGAGGAGGAGGAGAATGACGAGAATGATTGGGGAAGGAGGAGGAGGAGGAGGAGGAGGAGGAGGAGGAGGAGGACGAGGACGAGGACGAGGACGAGGAGGAGGAGGAGGAGGAGGAGGAGGAGGAGGAGGGGGCAGGACGAGGAGGAGGAGGAGGAGGAGGAGGAGGAGGAGGAGGAGGATGAGGTGGAGGTGGAGGTGGAGGTGGAGGTGGTGGAGGAGGTGGCTGAGGGAGGGCAGGACAGTGGGAGGAGGGAAGGGCCGCTGGGCCGGATCCGAAACGACCCGCCCGTTAGGGTCCGCCCGTCCCGATCCGACCCGACCCGACCCGCCCGTTCGGGTTCGCCCGACCCAACCCGACCCGACCTTTAGGGTTCTCGCGTGTTCTTTCGATTATGCACCACACTTTAATGTCCCGCCCGCCCGACTCGACCCGCCCGTTAGGGTCCGCCCGTCCCGACCCGACCCGACCCGCCCGTTAGGGTCCGCCCGACCTGACCCGACCTGACCGTTAGGGTTCTCGCGTGTTCTCTCGATTATGCACCACACTTTAACGTCCCGCTCGCCCGACCCGACCCGCCCGTTAGGGTCCGCCCGCCCGACCCGACCCGACCCGCCCGTTAGGGTCCGCCCGACCCGACACGACCCGACCGTTAGGGCTCTCGCGTGCTCTTTCGATTATGCACCACACTTTAATGCCCCGCCCGCCCGACCCGACCCGGCCGTTAGGGTCCGCCCGACCCGACCCGTCCCGACCCGCCCGTCAGGGTCCGCCCGACCTGACCCGACCCAACTGAATCCGATTTGGTCCTGAATCCGACTTTGGTCCGGAAATGCGGAATTTAGGACCCAAACTCCGGGAATCGCAATTCCCTGGCCGAAGCCGCTCAGACTGGTCAGGAGGAGGAGGAGGAGGAGGAGGAGGAGGAGGAGGAGGAGGAGGAGGAGGGAGACGACGGAGGACGAGGGGGGACGGACGAGGAGGAGGACGAGGAGATGAGGAGGAGCCCGAGGAGGAGGGAGGAGGAGGAGGAGGAGGACGACGACGACGGCGACGAGGACGAGGAGAGGAGGAGGAGGAGGAGGAGGAGGGAGGAGGGAGGGGAGGAGGGGAGGAGGAAGAGGCGGGGAGGGGGAGGAGGAGGAGGAGGGGAGGAGAGGAGGGAGCGGAGAGGAGCCAGGAGGAGGACGGGAGGAGGACGAGGACGAGGACGAAGACGAGGACGAGGAGGAGGAGGAGGAGGAGGAGGAGGAGGAGAGGGAGGAGGAGGAGGAGGAGGAGGGGGGAGGAGAGGGAGGAGGACGACGGCGACGGCGACGACGACAACGACGGCGGCGGCAGCGGAATCGGCGGCGAAACAGCGGGGCGAAACCAGCGCGGCGAAACCAGCGCCGGCGAAACCAGCGTCGGGCGAATCCAGCGACGGCGAAACAAGCGTCGGGCGAAACCAGCCCTGGCGAAACCAGCCCTGGCGAAACCAGCCCCGGCGAAACCAGCCCGTGCCGTCTGGGGACCTATTTTGAGCGCATCTGGCATCATCCCCGCCTCTTTACTGGTTTTCCAGGGTCCCAACCAGTTCAGACCCCCTGGCCGCCTCCAAAGAGGAGGAGGAGGAGGAGGAGGAGGAGGAGGAGGAGAAAGAGGAGGAGGAGGAGGAGGAGGAGGAGGAGGAGGAGGAGGAGGCGACGGAGGCGGAGGATGATGAGGAGGGTGATCGAGGATAGGCTGAACTTGCTCGACCTGGGCTTCGAGGTGGAGGACGAGGATGATTTAGAGGACTGCGCCTGGCAGTGCGCAGGGAAGGCCATCTCTCCTCTCCTCTCCCACCTCGCCCCGTGCCTGTCGCTCTTGATGCACCTTTTTGCGGCTCTGTCTAGGCTGGAATTCCAACTGCCCTTGCTCATTGGGGAGGCAGCGGCCACGCCGGCGAACTCTGCGGCGTGCTGGCCGACGTCGCATCGGGCCTGTGGGACAAGGAGCTGGGGGGTCATCGAGCGGCCGGGGCGTCTCGGAGGAGGATGGGGGATCAGGGATGATTGGTATGGATCGGAATGGGTACTTACCGAAAGACGTCTTCGTTGACTCCTGGATGTAGTTTTCGTTGGTTCGTAGGGTTTCGATCGCCTCGGGATTCTCTGCAGCAGCTGCGTCTTCGAGAGCTTTCCAGGCGTGCCTTGATCGCCCCGAACGGCCGCCAGAGGCCCAAGTTGTCGCCCGAAAACAACCAGGCGTCGAGCAGCGAGGATCGGTGCGAGCAGAACGGCCGGAACGAATCGGGACGAAGATCGACCGCACACAGGTCTTCTCCATACGGAACAGGGCTCGTTGTGGGTATCGCTCGGAAGTGTGCATTTTTTGCTCGGCGAGGACCATCGCGGAGCATCTCGGACCGCCTTGCGAACAAATACGCGCACGAAACCGAACAATGCACGGGGATTGGAAGTCCGAGCAACGGCGAGACTGGGGCTTGCCAAGAGGGGGGTGCCGAGGATCAGGGGTCGAAGTTTCTGGGCGTCGCTCGCCTTCTCGTGGCCTCGTCGCCGCGGCTGGGTTTCCCATGGAATTCTGGGCCCCGCGAGCCCAAGGATGGATCTAGGAGTCGACTTCTGACCAGCAAATACAAGGTGAGTGGTTCTGCCGGCCGGCTCCTTCTCCTCTTTTTTCTTCCCTTCCCCAGCGTGAGACTCTGTTGCATATTCGTCGGCGCCGAGGCGCCACCGCCCCGCCCCTCGTAGGGCCGCCCCGTGTGACGTGGGGGCGCAGTGTCGGTGTCAGTGTCATACCCTGGCTGGACCCACCCGCGCCGTGAACAAAGTCACGACCAGAAGGCTTCCTTCGGCCTCTGGGAGCCCTTGCCCGGTCGGGACCGTCAAACAACGGTTCCGGATGGACAGAGCTGCAATGCCGAAAGACACGTTGTGAAGACATTCGGCATCGGGGGCGCACGTTGTTGAGACGTTTGGTGCAGGCTGCTGGTTCAGTCTGGTTGGTCCACACCGTCGGAGGTACACGCTGTGAAAACGTCACGACGGCGGGCGTCCGGGGAGGAGGAGAGGGAGAGCTGAGTTTCCAGGAGGTGTTCCGTAAGTCTTAGGTATTCTGGGAGCTGGTTTCGGTCCCCAGGGCCGTCGTAAATCAATGCGGAGTGAAACATTGGCCAGTCTGGGCCCAGGAAGGGGTCCAGGACGGTGCAATGACCGATCGATCTTGAATGGTTTGTGATCGGGAGGAGGAAGCATGAGGCAGTGAGAGGAGCACGGCTTGTATACGTTTCTGTTTGCCTCCGGGGGCCTCCAGGACAGCGCCCCTGGGAGCCGACCCTCAGAAGAGCATCGCCGCCGAACGATCGGGGATGGGGACGGACCGCGAGCGAGGCAAGGAGGAGCTCGGGCAGGGAGCAGCACAGCATGCCGTCAGCGTGAAGAGTTGGAGGTTCTATCCGTGCCGCCCGAAGCGGCCCCCGAGCCCTCGGCCCTCTCAGCCCTCCCTCTGCTGCGCACCGGCAGCCAGCACAGCAGCCGCCCCCGAGAGCTGTGGCCCGGCCAGGCCTCGCCCCCCTCCGAGCACCGTGCCCTCTGGCCGCGGCCCTGCAGCACCCTGCCGCGGAGCAGCGGCCCCGAGCAGCACTCCTCGGCGAGAGAGCCCGAGCTGGCGAACGGGGGCAGACAGGCTCGACGGGGCTGGACCTGAACGGTGTTTTTGGGTGATTTCGTGGGCCGTTTTCGTTTCGACTTAGTTTTTTGCGGTAAGGGCGTATTCGAGACAGAAGCGAAGGGAAACGAAAGCAGAACGAAAACGAAAAACACCGTTTAGGTTCAGCCCTGAGGCTGGACTCGAAGGAGGGAAAACGCTGCAGACAAACTGTTTGCGCTCCGCGCGGATTTCTTGGGGATGCGCGCTGCCCCCCCCCCACCCCGGCGGCGCCTCCGGCGCCGCCCCTGGCGCTCTCCGCGCGCCAGGGAGGGGGGGTCCCGTGCGGATCCAAGAAATCCGCGCGGAGCGCCAAAAGTCTTTGTTTGTGCCGTTATCTCCTCTTCTGTTGAAGCTTGTCCGCCGTGCCCCAAGCACCAGCCCCGACAGGGCCCTCTGCCCGAAGGGACTCCCTTGATGCGGCCCTTCCCAGCTGCGCGCGTCGGGAGCGGCACCTCCGAATTAGAAACTGGCACGCGTGAGGGGATGGTTACAGGGGTGGATAGTGGCACAACGCGCAAGTTCGATGAGGACAGTTTTCGCCCAAGCACAATGTGCGGGATTCACTACCGTCTAAGTCGGGCTCAGCTCGAGCGCTGTGCATCGGGTCGGCGGCGTCCCGCGGCGCAGACGGACGCGCGGCGTTCGGCAACGGGCGAGGAGGAGGAGGAGTGGATGGAGGAGGGGAAGGAGGAGGAGGAGGAGGAGGAGGAGCAGGAGGAGGAGGAGGAGGAGGAGGAGCAGGAGGAGGAGGAGGAGGAGGAGGAGGAGGTAGGAGGAAGAAGGGGAGGAGAGGGAGGAGGAAGAGGGGGAGGAGGAGGGAGGAGGAGGAGGAGGAGAAGGAGGAAAAGGAGGGGAGAGGAGGAGGAGGAGGAGGACGAGGAGGAGGAGGAGGAGGAGGAAGAGGAGGAGGAGGAGGAGGAGGAGGAGGAGTACACGACGCCCCGTGGCACTCGAGCCCTCTCCCCCTCCATCCCCCAGTCCCGCGGCCCAGCGTTGTCCAGCCGTGAGGGCTCGGAGATGCTGCCCTGTTCGCAGAATTACCTTGTACGGCAACTTCGCGTCGCGTCGACGCCGCGGCGACGGTAGCGTTAAATCGGGTTTGTCCCTCTACAGGGGGGATATTCGAAAATAGTCAAACAAATAGTCAGATGACTATGTTTTGACTATGTTTGACCATTTTTGAATATGTTTTGAGTTTTTTGTTAGCCCAAAACTCCCTTGTGGGGGGACAGGCCCAACCTAACACTAGCGCGGGCGTTTAAGGCTGAAGCCCACAGGCGGCCAGCATTAGGCCATCTTTGATCAGTTGTCAGCTACGTCGTGAGTGACCTCCTCTGTCGGAGGAACGGAGGCGTTGGTGGACCTCGTTCCCCGGATCGCCGAGCGTGCGGGAGTCCAAACGGAGGCGTAACGAACATTGCAGCGGGCAGCTGCTTTGCTCCCTGCTGCCCAGCACCAGCACATACTTTGATGCATGACCCACGGCTGCCCTAGTGTGATACCCAGCTGCTGGCACGGACAGGGAGGCTTCTCGGAGTGTTGGAACCTCCTCACCCCAACCCAACCCGAAGGCCCAAATTTGCCCTCCATTCCCAGTGGTGGGGGTATCGGGGGACATGGAAAAACAGGTGTGAAGCCCGTACCCCTCCTTCCCGAAATTCGGGTCGTCGGGCCGGGTAGGGGTGGTCTGGTAGGTAGCCACCTTCTTATCTTCTGCCTTCGGCGGCCCGCAGATCAGGGGAGTGGGGCGAGGGGGGTTGCACTCTGAGAGGGCGTAGTGTTTCTTGGGTGGCGCACGCCCCTCCGCCCCATCCCAAGTCGTGCACACCGCCAGGTTCTCGTCCTGTTGGCGCGCAGGGGTGGCTTGCTTTCCAAGAGGGCAGCGGAAGGGCTCGGCAGCCTCCCCCCCCGCCACAACACCCCTTTCTTTGTTTGGTACGCGCCTCTCGAGCTTCCCTTCCTGCTGGCTCTCAGACGATTGCCCGACTGGCTGTTTTTCCACACGCGGGCCAGTCTTTGAATTGTCCCCGGGGGGGGCGATACAGTCAAAAGAAGATGGAATACCGTGGAGACCCATGCCAAGAAACACCATGCTTGTCTCCAGGATGCCCTGGGTCTCCTGGGTCTCGATGGTTTTGCGATGGGCAGCGTGACGTTCCCACACCAGAAATCCATAGACGTCCTGGGGTCTCAGGGTTGGGTTTCTTTGGAAGGCTCCATGTGGTCGGGCCCCTATAATGTGACGTCCCTCCCCCGGCTGCCGACACGAGTGGATGATTCCAGGAGTTGGCGAGGACCAGTTAACCAAGTCATAGCCAGCTAGGCAGGCCCAATTCGGGAAACAGGAGGCACCGGGGGCGGGCCATCCGAGGAGCCCAGGGAAGCCGAGGAACCTCCGGGAGACGGGCAACGTGACAATAGCAGGCACCAGGGGCGGGGAACCCGAGGAACCCGAGGGACCGCCGAGCAGCGGACAACGCAACAATGGAAGGCACCAATTTTTCCACAAGTAAGAACCCCTTAGGCACCCGAAGACCCAGTCCCGCGTGGGCCTCGCCCCCGTGATGCGCCAGAGCGCCTGCTCCCCCCTCGCCCGCGCGAGCGCGCGCGCGCGCGCGGCGCGCGCCCGCGGGCCGGCCGGAGGAGACGCCCATCGAGGAGCCGCCCGAGTGCGCCGCGGGGGGGGGAGCCTCGGCCTCAAGTCACGGGAGCCTTGCGTCGAAGAAGGCGAAGAAGAACAGACGCCATAAACAAAGTATTATTGGAGCTCCGCGCGGCATTCTTGGATCCGCGCGGAGCGCCGAAAGTTTATGAGGCATCTCATAGTAGATGCTCAGTGCTGAGCGCTTTCTGGCCATACTGCCCGGGAAACAGAAGCACCACAAGACGGTTGCACTGCATGGTCGAGTCCGGCGGGCGCCTCCGAGGAGGTCGCACAGTACCAGTGTGTCCTTTGTGCGTTCCGTCGACGTCGTGGCGGCTCATCGCTGGCGTCGCCGTCGTCGAGCGGCGCGCACCGCCCCAGGAGTACCTGGAGCTCGTTGGCGCCCGCTTCCTCGAGACGGGCCTCGGCGGCGCACCGCTGTGCCCGGGGAGGGGCGCGGGGGGGTGGGGGGGCGACAGGCCAGCTGCGCGTGAGGATACACCCCTCGCAGGGCGCGCCTTCGGGTCGGCCAGGTCTCGGGCGGGTGGTGATGGTGCATGCCTTGCTGAATGCGAGCGCTGTTACTCTTAATGTGTGTCCTTGACGTCCACTGCTGATGGAAACTGAATGGTGTTCGTATGCCCGTGATGTGTGCATGTGTAGCTATCATGGATGTCGGTTACTGATAGCACGCACGTGTCCTTGATGTGTGCTCCCGATGTTTGTGGACAGCTCGACGTCGTGATGCAGGCAAGATTGTTCTTGGTGCCTCTCATTGCATGTTGTCGAAGAATAGGTCGCTGGCTCCAAAATGGGATTCAAGGGCCCTTTCAGGGCCATTTTCTGTGTCCCCCTCTTACAGTCAGTCCGCACAGTAAGGATGAGCAACTTTCATAGGTTACCCTTGCATCCTTCCCCTTCGGCCCATCCTTGGCCGCTTTCGCTGTCTGTGGCCCGTTCGCAAAGTGCCGACATGGCCTTCCAAGGTCCTTTCATCATCATCATCATCATCATCATCATCATCATCATCATCATCATCATCATCATCATCATTATCATCATCATCATCATCTTCATCATCATCATCATCCTCATCCTCATCCTCATCCTCATCATCATCATCATCATCCTCATCCTCATCCTCATCCTCATCCTCATTCTCATCCTCATCCTCATCCTCATCCTCATCCTCATCCTCATCATTATCATTATCATCATCATCATCATCATCACCATCATCATCATCGTCATCATCATCATCATCATCATCATCACCATCACCATCATCATCATCATCATGCTTCTTCTTATCCCCATCGCGCCCGCTGATTGCAGTCGTCTGCAGCTTCTCGGCCCGAGCTTGCCCCGCTTCGGCCCCCGCCGCCCCTCCCGCGCCCGCGCGACCAGGGGCGCCGGGAGCCTGCGCCGGCCCCCGCTGCTCAGGTGTCCATCGACTTCTACGCGGCGGCGGCTTTCTTCTCGGACCACGCGTGGGCCGCCGCCCAAGGCGGTGGTCCACTCTCCCCCCTCGAGCGCGGTATTGCACGGGGCCCACTTTCCCGTCAATCCGTTCTCGTGTGGGGCGAGCCCGACTGCGCCGAGCAGCCAGTCGGTGACGGCACGGGGTTGCCTCCCTGTTCGGGTTGGCTCGCGCCACTCCTTCCTGCACGCCGCTTGCCTGCAGGCGGGGCGCTCGCGCGCCCCTCAGGCCACCTGTCCTACAGGCGCCTGTCGCCAACGGCCTCCTGGCCCATGGCGTCCGCGGCTGCACCCCCAGCTTTCCGCGGTACCGACCCGCCGCGCTGGTGCCCCCCGACGGGCCCGCCGCCTCCTCTGCAGCAAAACCTTCCTCCACCTCCCCCTCCTTTCTCCCGCCATTCTTCCCCTTCTTCCTCTGGGGTGGCGGAGTTGGAGACTCATGGGAGGACCGGAGGAAGGAGAGGTGGAGCTTGCACGCCATGTGCTGCGGCACCTGATCAGTCCAATGTCTCACGAGGTGCTCCGGCGCACAGCTCCTACGCCCGCCTCCCGATGGCCCCAGACGGCGCACTGTCTCTGCCTGCCAGTCGTGCCGCCAGCGAAGCCACTGCCGATGAGAGCATCCCTCAGAGCCGCCCGTCAGAGGGCACAGGCGCCAACGGTGCGAAGACAACCGCGCTATGGGTGGAGGAGCCGGAGTTGGTGGACCCTTCTAACCTCCACCTCCTCGCTACTCCTTCTCCTCCCCTCGCCGCCTCGCCCTGGCTCAACCTTGATGCTTGGCGGAGCAGCCCTCGTGCGGACACCTGTGGCTTCGAGGTCGCTGAAGGCTTTTCCTGTCCCGCGGGGTGGGGCGCCGGCGGCGCTACGACGATTCCGCCCTATCCTGGCTGGGACGCTCCAGCGCGCGAGCCGCCCGACTTGCCTGGGCTGGCGAGTACGGTGCAACGCCCCCGCCCGCCTCCAGGGCTGGATCCTCCACCGCTTTCCATGAGCTTGCAGGCGGACTCGCCGCCAGGCTTCGCTGGGCTGGAGGGCGCCCCGCTCGCGATGGGGCCGTTCCCCACTCTCGCTGACGTGGAGGCTGGTGCTCGCGTGCCCCCGTCAAATTCCACGATCGCCATCGCTCCGACATATGGGGTTCACCTGTCAGGAGGTGCCAACTCGCAGTGGACTTTCATCGAGAAGCACGTTTCGCACCCTCTGGTGCGCACTTCCTTTCTGCCGCCGATGCACGCGTGGGACCCGCACACGGGCTCCGACAATCAGAGCGTGGCTCCGCCACCAGGCTTCGCCGGCTTGGAAGCTGGCGCACGGGCGCCGCCTTTGGTCGACTCCCGCGCGTCCGATGCAGCGGGTGGGGGTCCGTGGCTTAGCGGCGAGCGTCTGCCGTGCACCGGGTCGTCGCCACTGCCGTTTTGGCGCCCCACGGCCGCCGTCGGTGACCGCGCGGCTGGCGGAGCCGCCGTGAGTGCGGAGTCGCCTCCTGTCGGTGGTGGCTCGCCTTCCCACGTCGGGCGGGTTGGGCCGCCGCCGGGCCTCGCCGACCCACAGGCGGGAGTTCATACGCACCCGTCTCTCCACCCTAGCAATGTTCGCCCGGCCTCTTTGACTGCACAACCGAACCTGGAGTCCGCCGCCGTGGCGCCGCCGTCGACGCACGTCTGCGCGACCGCTGCCTTGGTTGGGACTCCGGCGCTTGTCAGCAGTATTCACCTGGTCGCTACGCCAGGCGGTGCCTCGACGGCTCGGTGTCACCAGCGACATTTCGCAGACGCTCGGTCTAAGCGGGGGTCCATCCACGCCCCCGATGGGCCCGCCGCGCCACGATGTGGCGGTTGCACTGGAGCCAGGCGCCACCGCTGGTGCATCCTGGGCGGCCCGCGCAGCGGTTGCTCGCGAGTCATCCTCGACGCCCCCCCTGCTGCCACGATGGGGGTCGGTGGGCGGGGGGTCGCTTCGAGCGCTTCGGACGCGGATTCTGCTCCCAGACGCGCCACTGGCGGGCCCCCAGCGATGTTCGGGGGACCCCCTGCTGTGCACGCAGTCTCGCTTGCGAGCAGTCCCACCACAGCGAGGGCGCCCACTGCCATCGGTAGCGTGGTGGACGCGCCAGAAACGCCCGTCCGCAGTGCCTCGACCGAAGCTGCGATCCCCACGCCTCGGGGCGCTTGCACTCGGAACGCAGCGGGCACTCAAGCAGCGGGATCACCTCCAGGCCTCATCGGCCCCGCCGCGGGCTCCTCGGGTGAAGGCGTCGCCGCAGCCGCTGCCATTGCAGCGAGGCCCCGACGCTTCTCGTGCAATCGGATCCAGGGCCCCGTCGCGTCGATCCCTGCCCGCGCTCGCGAGCGCCTGCTGGCCGACCCTCGTGGTCTGAGCCCCTCTCCGTCCCCACTGGTAGGCATGCGCCCCTCCAGCGATGCTGTTGCGGCCCCGCAGGGAGGGGTTCGTGCCGCCGGTGGAATGTCAGGAGCGGGCTCGCCCGCGGCGGACACGACGCCCCGCGATGCGGTCCCTGCGCTCCGCTCTGGTCGAGGAGTCGCTTTCGCCGCGGGCTCCTCGGATGAATGCGTCGCCGCAGCCACTGCCACTATAGCGCGGCCCCGTCGCCGCTCGGCCTCCACCAACAGCAACCCCGCACTCCCCGCCTTCAGGCTCCGACGTGTTCGTAGGGTCCGCACTCGGCGTGGAGGACGGCGGGGTCGTGGGGCCGCCGATGGTAGCTGCTGTGCAGCTCACGCTCCAGCCCATGCTGGTGCGACCGCCTCGTCTACGGACGCCCTCGTCGGTGCTTCAGAGGCCGCTTCTGGGGCCCGTGCTCCAGGGAGCCGCAGTTCGCTGGTGCAGGTGGCGGCGGGCCCTTGCCGCGCCGCTTCCGCCGGCTCCCAGGCCGCCGGCGATGCCGCCCTCCATGGCGGCGCATCCCAACACAGGGGTGGACGCACGCGCCCTGCGTGCCCTGGCCGAGGGCTCACGCAGCGGCGAGTCGCTGAAAGCGACGACGCTGCTGCTGCCAAGCGTGCCTGGGCTGAGCGAGGCCGTGAGAGTAGGCACGCGCTCCTCCAGCGATGCTGTTACGGCCCCGCAGGGAGGAGCTCGTGCCGCTGTCGCGACTCTCGCTCTACCCCCGGCTCCCCCTCAGGGCCGAGTGGCCAGTTTGGCCAGTTTCACCATGCTGCCGGAGTCCATGCCGTCGGTGACTCAGACGCGCCGTCCTTCGGTTCTATCGGTTCTGGTGGCAGTGGGAAGCCCCTTCGAGGTGACCTGTCCTCAGGGGTCACAGCCGCTCCACAGGCCCCTCGATTTGACTTGTCCTCAGGGGCCGCTGCCAGTTCCGAACCCTCTCGCGTTGATTCGCCCGCAGGGGATTTAGACCCGAGGTCGTCTGCACCTGCCAGCACCACGCCATGCCATTCTGGTCGGTTTCACCGCGGTGCTGAGGCCCACGCTCCTGGGGCTTCAGCCCGTGCCAGCACGGGCATTGGCAGATCTGCGCCCTTCGTGGCCGATCTGTCCGCCTTGCTGCGCCTGTTCCCAGGCGCCAGCATCGACGTCACCCACTGGGCCGCTGCTCTTGCCCAGGTCGGGATGGGGACTCGATGCCCCCTTGCCGCTTTTACCCGCACTTCCCTCTGCGCGCCGGATTGGGACGACTCGTACCTGTCGGAGTCGGTTCCCCGCGATCCATGGCCGTGCCCTCCGTCGCCGCCTTTACCGCCGCCGCCTGGCCACCTGTCGGGTCGCGCGCGTGAGCGCTGGCGTGTGAGGCGCGCCGCCCGCACGTTGTCGCAGCATGCTGTTGTTGCGCTCAACTGGCTCACCCTGGGCCATCCGAGCTTCGCTCCCGCCGAAGCCAAAGTGCGGGCAACGGTCACACCCTGCCAGGAGGGTATCCGCAGTCGCCTCGAGCGTCTGTGTCGGATCGCAGTTCGCCTTGCCCGCGGCGGCAAGAGCGACCTTGGTCGAGCTTTC